ATGAAACTTGCCAAAGGCTTACTACGCTCGGGATCGAAACCGGGTCCTCCAGTTTGAGAGTCGAGAATTATTTCCACTCCGCCACAGGTTCCGTTTAAGTAATAACAAAAGAAACATGATTTGTTTTATTACATTGACAGACCAAAGTAAATCATAGCAACTGGACGTGCAATACATAAACTCAAGCATTCATGGGTTCTGAATTTATTGTAACATATAAGGTGTGAACCTTTAACTGACAAGTTGGTGTGAGGTTAATGTGGCTTCCTCTCCGTCTGGTTACAGGCAGATCATCCCTATGTACAAATTGAAGTCAGTTTTTGTACGAGACTTGCATTGCAGTCTATCACTGTGGTGAGACTAAAAGCATAGTAATACGCAGCGCTGTCAGACACACCAGCACAGAGATCGATAAACTGGTGGACGAATTGGATTTCTGCAGCTGAGAGAGAAACGATGTTCAAATCCTGTTCCTTTCTGTTGATTGTCATTCGCCGAATATCTCCAAACTCTGGGTGTTTGTCCCGTAATATCGGTACAGTGGAATAGTAGGAGGTTTCAGTGGTGGAATAGCTACATCGGAAAATCACAGATTCTCCTTCTCTTTTTACCATCGTGGCAGAAGTCTGACTGACAGTGTCCGCATCACAGAAATCTGTAATAAACATGGAAGAGCACGACAATATATTCACTCGTTGCCCGAAATGTTTTGTCAGCGCCTTGAGCGTCCTCTCGACGACAAATACGCTATACATAGTTCCTTTGTTAATAACGGAATAATATTTATCATTCTATTGTATATGAACCATTTTCACTTTGTTGTGAGTTGTTACTGCGCTTCACATTATATGGTGTCAGTTAATTTATGTATATTTTTTGACCAAAACACGACAACCAATTGCGCAAAGCGTTGCAGAAAAAAAAAACAGTCGTCGTATGTATTACCAAAAATTGTTTAAATCAAATAATATATTAATAATAATAATAATAATCCTTGCATTTGATATAGCGCTTTCACATCGGGAGGACGTCCCAAAGCGCTTCACAGAACACACTGTAAAGTGAATTGACTGTATATTTCTGGGCGATCGCCGGCAGCTAATTGCGCACAGCAATGTCCCACAAACAGTCGTGGATTGAAAATGACCAATTTATTATTGTTTTTGGTGTTGGAGGATTATTATTATGCTCTGTGTGGAGTAAGGAAACTTGCCCAAGGTTTCGCCCTCTGCCAGGAATTGAACTCAGGTCTCTCACTTGCAAAGCGATGCTCTAACCACTGAGCTACAGGACTCCACTCCATAATGGATTATTTTCCTTGAAAAATAGTTCAGATATGTAGCAAAAAATATTTGAATGGAGTTATGGTTTGGAATGGTTATTGTCCCCTACTTACGAAGCACAGGAGTTCCTAATTACAGCTGAGTCAATCGAGGCATGTGTCTACTTGCGGTGTAAGGAAATTTACATAAGTTTTCTTTCTGCCCGGGAATCGAACTCAGAGAGTTCTCTAACCATTGAGATACCACTGAGGTTTCTCCCAACAAATGTTATTGTAATGGAACTGACCAACTGCAGAAACACTGAATCAGCTCAACACGGCCTCACCTGACATAAAGGTTCCCAGCATCAGACAGACAGCAAACAGCCTCATTGCTGCTCTTCAGTCTGTGTGGTTGTGTCTGTGCCATCAGTTTGCTGATAGCCCGCAATGATTGTCGCATTGGCGAAGTCACAGTCTCACGTCACCTCATTGGCATCTCAGCCGCGTTTCAAAAATAACAACCAATTACCTATACATATGCCTTTCACCTGTCACTGGGCGTAGGAAATCCTCCCGCTCAGCTCTTGTTAAGTCGGCAAGATAAAGTACTAACGAGAAAGAAGATGATAGCTGGACAAACAGCGGTAAAGCTTACTAGTCAGAGATGTCAATTGCAAGCTATGTAGTTTTAACTGATTGGACTCGAGTAGATAGCCATCACACACTCAGAGATCCCCAATCCTTGGCTCTTCCCACCCACCAAATAATATTCTCCGGAATTAGTGAAGCAGGACGTGTCCTTCCAGGCAGAGAGAGTGCTTACCATTCCGAGAACCAATCTCTGACATTTCCAAGTATAGGTAGGATAAATGGAAATCTCATCTTGGTTTGGAGATTGTTAAACATGGTGAATGGTATAGGCATTTGTTGACCTCCCCAAAAGAAAACACATAATAATTGTGCAATGTCACCATTTTAGTTGACAAAAAGCTTGGTAAATAATAGTAACTTGTCGCCCTCTAGTCTCCACAGAGCCAAAGTTCAACTCTGCTTTCATATTCGATGCCAAACTTGAAGTAAAGCAATGATTGTAGTAATAATGTGTTGTGGTTCCCAGTGGCTTATATCACCTGAGACTCAGGTTACAGTAATACACACCGCTGGCAGTAAACTGTGAGCCACAGATACTGAACGCCCCCTCCCACACACTGAATCGTCACCCCACAATTATGTTGAGCTGTTCTGAGCCCGAAAGGGCAATTTGTCCAGTGTAATAGTTCACACTGCAATCCTGAATTGAGCCAGAATTGCCACTGGCAATTGTACACTGCCTACTGTTTTACCTCGCAGTGAGAAAGAAGCCGGTTGTTGTTGGATAGGCAAATTATTTTCCGGGTACTATAATTCCTCTAAACTAATAATAATAATAATATTACAGTCGCGCGATTCGCAACTCTTTGTGAGTCACTGCTATGCCCAATTGGCTGGTTTATTTCAGTCACAAAATGTAGATTTGATTCACTTCAAAGTGTATTCTGTGAACGTATTGAGACTTCTCGAAGTTGTTTTAAGTCGCTATATCAAATGCATCGAGTATCATTATCAAGTCAATTGACTTATATAAAATGGAGACAACCAATGTGGTATTGACTTTTCAACACATTTTCATTGTTTTTAGTAATTTAAGGTACTTTTCCCCCGGAAGCGATCCATAAATTGACAAACTAACAGTTACTCGTGTCTGCTAGTTTTGCAGAGGCGTGTAGAGTAACTAAACTTGCGCAACGTTTCGGTCTCCATGGGAATCGAAACCCGATCCTCTGAATAGTGAAGACAGAGCTGTAACCAACATTCTGTAAATTTCGACAACATCCACTTCTTCGAATGCTTTTATTCCATCAGGTTCCCGGGCTCTTAATGGGATACTTCAGTGGTCAAAATGCATTCCAGTCGCTTTGAGATATCAAATGCAAAGATTAGTATTATTACTGTCATGTCTGGAGACTTTCCAAAGCGATTCGCAAGACTGTAGATAGGTATATACTGTATATGCGTGTCAATGCGCTTCACAATGCTGTATAAATTGCTGCGTGTGGGGGTTTGCATTTATATGTGTTTTCTGCATTGCACATTCTTGCTTAGAGTCGAAAAAGATGACAGTTCGAATGCTTTTTATTGCCGCATTTGCAGTAAACCGTCATAATTTCGCCCGTTGTGCTCAACTGACGGGTATCAGACAACACCAGCCATCAGGTGCTTTCACCACAGAGACGTGACATCCAGTGAAGAACAACAAATTAAATTTGTGTAGGTGGACATCCCAAGGTGCTGGTTATGAATTGACAAGAGAACAGCCTACGAAGAAGACAGAAGCCTTCTTTGAGTTGCACACGGTCAGCTTTTAAAATACATTCACGCGACCCCAGTGTGGATTGCTTCACTAACTGTGGTTTGTTCTCATCGTATCGGCCATGATTTTGTGGGGTCACCTGTATGTCTGACACATGCGAAAACCCAAGAAGATGATTACGAATATGCAAACTTAGCTGAGAATTCCATTAAAGCCACTCAGGTATGGAAATAATATAATAATAACCGTTATATTTTTGAATGGTGCCGGTGGTGTCCAACAGCTCAGTGTTTAGACGAATCGCATCACAAGCGAGAGACTTGGGTTCGACTCCCGGGCAGGGCGAAATATTGGATAAATTTCCTCACTGCATTTGCCTCTGATTTCCTTGCAGTAAGTAGGAAACGCGGTTTTTAATCAATTGGCGAATCGCTTTTTTTAAGAGCCAATAATTCCTCAAAAAAAATTGGAGGATGTCTTTCCCTCAAACAAATATACAATCAATTGACGATGCAGTATATTCTGTGAAGTTTTTCTAAATTTCCCGAAGACATGATGAGGCACTTTATCAAATAAAAATATCATTACTATCATCGTCACGTCTTCGGGAGGTCTCAACGTGTTTCACAAAATTTGTAGCAAAGTGAATTAAAGTGTTTAACACGATGCTGATCAAGAAGTAATTTTGTAGCTTGTCGAACTCTGGCGACCAATGTGCCACAGTACAGCTCTGCCTTCTTGCTTGACGCCAAATTAAATTAATCTTTATTGGAAACGTGATGGAAATAAGAATGTGTTGTGTTTTCCATTGGCTTATAATCACGTGAGGCTCAGAGTACTGTGCAGAACCCACTGTCAGTTACTGTGATGCCACAGATACTAATATTGAAGTCCAACTCACCGAATAATAATAACAATTATGCTTGCACTTGGTATCGCGCCATATCATGTCGACAAAACATCGCAACGGCAAATCACAGAATATAGTGTAAAACCAATTCACTTATATACTGTCTGAGACGTGATAGCCAATTGAGCACAGCAGTGCCCCACATGGAGTCGTGGATTTATTGACCTTTTTTAAAACATTAGACGTAAAGGTGTGACAAACACGTGGACGTATTGTAGAAAATAATAAATTATATTTGCAAAGCGAAATAAATCAACAGTAAGTGGACCTGTAATGCATAACTCGTTTACCAAATGCTGTCTGCATTTATTGTGACAAATAACAATGTGAGCGTTGAGCTGACAAGTTGATGTAGGTTAATGTGGTTTCCTCTTGAGTCTGGTTATACATACGTCTGCTTCCCGCGGGGCCTCAAGGCCCGAACAAGGTTCCGCACACACTTCAACAGACAGATCATCCCTATGTACAAAGTGAAGTCAGTTTTGTACGAGACTTGCAGTGCAGTCTATCACTGTGGTGAGTGTGAAGGCACAGTAATACACAGCGCTGTCAGACAACACCAGCTCAGAGATGGATAAACTGGTGAATGAGTTTGATTTCTGGAGCTCAGCAGAGAAACGATTTTCAAATCCTGCTCCTTTGTCGGGATTATCACTGTGACTGTATCTGCTAATTATAAACTCCGGCTGCTTTTCCTTGTAATGTCGGTACCAGAACAGATAGAAATAGCTTTCAGTCGTGGAATAGCTGCATTCAAAAGTCACCGACTCTCCTTCTGTCCTAACCATTGGGGCAGCTTTCTGACTGACAGAGTCCCCACCACAGAGATCTGTAACAAATAAGGAACAGAACGAAAATTTTGCATTCCGTCTTTGGCAGAGTTAGTTCTCCATCGCCTTGGAGTTCTCCAGAAGCGAAACGCGCTATACACATGAAATTGTTTAATCATGAAATAATATTCATCAATGTATTTTATATAGCATATTCTCACGTCGTTCAGACGTTTGCAGGTACCACACAGAGCAGATGGTACAGTGAATTGCTGTTTATCTTTGTCGGCGAAATTGGCACAGCAGTGTTTCACAACCAGTCGTGGAATCGGTATCCGAATTATCATTTAAACTTTTTTAATGCACTGTAGACTCTGGAAAAGAGCTTCGCCGTTCCAACAGAAACGCTTGAATTCAGAAACTATTATTATTTGGACAGCTGTTTAGCCCCACCTTCTAAAACAACGGAGATCCCATTAATGCAGATAAACAGAGCCGGACGTTTCGAGTAAGGAAACTTGCACAAGTTTCAACCTGTCCGGGAGTCGAACCCAGGTCCTCTCGCTTGCGAGGCGAGTGCACTCTCCACCGAGATACAGGACTCCACCAATTGTTGCTGAAATGGACTCGACAATCAGCAGCGACGCTGAATCAGCTCAACAGGGCCTCACCTGACATAAAGGTTCCCAGCACAAGACAGACAGCAAAGAGCCTCATTGCTGCTCTTCAGTCTGTGTGTTGCTGTCTGTGGCATCAGTTTGGTGATAACCCGCAGTGATTGTCGGCATTGGCGGAATCACAGTCTCACGTCACCTCATTGGCATCTCAGCCGCGTTTCAATACAACAACCAATTGCTTTTATACAGCGGCTTTCACCAGTCACTGGGGGCAGGGAATCCTCGCTCTCAGCTCTTGTTAATCCTGCAAGATAAAGTTCTAACGAGAAAGATGGTGATAGCTGGACAAACAGCGGAAATGTTTGCTATTCAGCGATGTCAATTGCAACTACGTGTTTTAATTAGTTGGACACCAGCGGATACAAATCGTATACTCAGAGGTCACCAAACCTTGGTTCCTGCCAACCAGCAGCTAACAATCTCCGGAATTGGTAAAGCAGCACGTGTCTCTCCAGGCAGAGCGTTGCATTCCTTACCGACAACCAATCTCTGGCATTTCCAAGTATAGGTGGGATACATGAGAATCTCAGCTTGGTTTGGAGACTCTTAAGAATGGTACAGGCATTTGTGGACCACCCCAAAACAAAACACTTCAAAAATGTGTAATGTCTTCATTTTCGTTAACAAAATCATTCAGCATCATGATTTGGTAAATAATAGTAACTTGTCGCCCTCTAGAGACCACTGGGCCATAGGTAAATCTTGCCTTCATATTTGATGCCAAACTTGATGTAAAGCAATGATTGTACTAATAATGTGTTGAGGTTCCCAGTGGCTTATATCACCTGAGGCTCAGAGTACAGTAACACACCCCGCTGTCAGTCACTGTGATGCCACAGATACTGAAGCCCCATCTCCCACACACTAATTCCTCGTCTCACAATTATGTTGAGCTGTTCTGAGCCCAAAGGGCAATGTGTCCGTGGAATAGCTCACATTGCAATAGTGAATTGAGCCATTATTGCCACTGGCATTTGTACATTGTCGCATTTGCGTACTGTTCACCAAGCAGTAAGTCGAAAACCGGTTGATATTAGATTGACTAAATACTTTCTGAGTATTATAATTACTCCAAAATAATAATAATATTATTAGAGTCACGCAAGCCACAACTCTTTGTGAGTCTCTACTGTGCCCTATTGGCTGGCTTGTTTCAGTCACAAAATTTAGTTTTAATTCACGTCAAAATATATTCCATGAAGAGTTTTGAGAGGTCTCGAAGTCGTGTTAAGGCGCTGAAGCAATTGTAAGGATTATCATTATCAAGACAATTGACGTGCAGTATGCAGGCAACCAATCTGACATTGAGTGTTCAACACATTATTACTCTTTTTAATAATTGAAGGATTATGCGACCGCGTAAAGAGATCCATAAATTAAAAACTGATTTTTTTTTGTTGCTGCTGGTTTAACAGAGGTGTGTAGAGTGATTAAACTTCCCAACGTGTTGGCCTGAACGAGAATCAAAAACTGTATCCGCTGACTTCTGAGGACAGAGCTGCAACACATATTCAGCAAAATTCCACAATATCCCTTTCTTCGAATGCTTTTATTCCACCCATTTCCCGGGCTGTATATGGGATACGTCAGCGGGCAAAATGCACGACGGACGCTTTGAGATATCTCGAAGATACGATTCGCCTTTATATTTAACGCAGAGATTGTTATTTTTATTATCATGTCGGGATACTTTCCAAAGCGCTTCACAAGGTTGCATATATTTTTATGTGTGCGGTTACATTTTGAGTGTCTTCTGCATTCCACTTTCTTCCATAGTGTCAAAAAAGATAATAGTTCAAATGGTTTGTATTGCTGCATTTGCAGTTAGCCAACATAATCTCGCCTGTTGTACTCGATTCGCTGGTTATTTTACCCTCTGCCTTTGTGGTGACACACAATTTTGTGAATCTACAGCAGACAGATTGAGTTGTGGTGAACGTCGTTCGTATGAGAAAAGAACGAAGTTTCCTGGAAAGAAACTGCTCGCCTCAGCGCCACCGCACAAAGCCAGGAGAGTTATTGAACGAGGTGGTCTCTGGCATCCATCACTGTGGGGGCTGAGTGCACAGTAATACACAGCAGAGTCAGACACCTGTAACTGGGAGATGGTTAATTTGTTGGATGTTCTCGAGGTCTGCAGCTCAACTGAGAAACGAGTTGAGCAAAAGCCGCTTTACGTTCTGGGAGAACTGTACAGCTGCTGAGGATATACTCGGGTTGTTTCTCTGAGAGTTTTCGGTACCAGAATAAACAATACTCGTTCAGTGTTGTAGTATAATTAGTGTCCAAAGTCACTTTCCTCCTTCTGTATCAGTCACTGAAGGAACCCAATGAGTAACATAATCTCCCCGGCTCAGACTTGAAAAAAAGCGTGAAATAAAAATAAGTTTGAACATACTTAATTATTAAATATTCTATACGCTGGATATAGTGCCTTATCACAACTTCGAGAAGTCTCACAGCTCTTGTAAAAACACAATGTTACGTGATTTTACTGTACGTTTTGCAGTCGAAAAGCCGCAGCCAATTGGGCACAGCAATAACCTACAAACAGTCTTAGAACAAGTGACCAATTTATCAGCAATGTGTTATTTGAATAAATTAATAACCGCGAAAAAGCAATGTGCCAATCGACTACCAAACATGTATTTGTGCTGCGTGTGGTTTAAGGAAACTTGACCAATGTTTCTCCCTACTGGGAACGGAACCCAGGGCTCTCGCTTGTGAGGCCAAGTCTCCAAACACTGAGCTACAAGACTCCACTAATAAAAGCTACGCAATCAATTTTGAACATTGACTGTAACATTGGCGATTTGCCTGAATTAATTACCTGCCATAAAAGCAGCCAATGTCGCCCAGATCGCAATTTCCCCCATCGTCTGAGAACTTGTCTGGATGCCCATTGATTAACTGCGAGATATTTGAGGTGATTGGCTCCAACTTCCGCAATGATGAGCTGCGCTGTCGTCCAATAGGTCAAGTGCAAAAAGTCCATGAGATCCGAAATGCTTTGCAATCAATTATCTTTTTCTGATTAACATCATAGAACAATAGAATCGTGGATTATAAAGAAGAGAAGGAGATTATTCGGTCCATTCTGACTGTTTCGACACTGTGAAAGAGCTAAACAATGAGTCCCACTCCCCATTCTTTCCCCATATCCATGCAATTTTATTTTCCTTCGTAAATTCCATTCCAATTCCTTTTTAAAAACTACCATCGAATCTGTTGCCACTTTCACAATGTACATTGTAAACCGTAACAAGACTATTATTAAAAAATTCCGTCCGTCTCTCCCCTGTTTTTTTTGACAATTATCTTCAATCTGCGAAAGAAATTCAGAAGCTACAAAAGTCTAATTTGGAAACGAAGTGTGATGTAGATATGAACAGTTAGGGACAAAATTGAATAAACGATTAAATTATGTTTCACACAAAACAACATTAACGGCAACACAGTATATCACTGAAATATGCACAGTTAACCATCACTGAGAAAAATGTGCCGACATCTGTGCCCAAAGGATCAAATATATTATGACAGACGGACATCTCATAGCATTAAACATGATATAACGTAGCATGTAGTGATTGTATCTGTCAGTAATTTGCAAGTCAATTCACTTTGCAGTAGATTCTGTGAATCAATTCGGGGCGTTTCGAAGAGATGATAAGGCGTTGTGTTAAGTGCAAGTATTAATAATATTTCTTTCACACGTTCAGTACACGAACCACTCTGTCACATTTTGCTTGTGTTTGGCAAGTAGTCAAGTGTTTCCTCTTAGAGACACAGCAGCAAAGTCACATTCTGTGAAATAGGTCAACTGTCTGGACTAACATCTGTGCTGAGATGAATCCGCTTCGCTCCTCTAAGGAGGTTTATGTACAGTGGTGTAGTCTGACTTTAACACAGTGTGTGTTGGCAGAAGTGTGTGGCCAGGGCAGATAGAGAAATGGAAGCAATGTTCCAGGGATCTCTTCCTCCCCGTATCCAGATTAGTGGTGAAACATTGAGTTTCAAATTCAGCAACGAAAGTCCGGCTTTCAGCAACAGAGACTTGCAAATATGATGGTTGAACGCTGACTCTATTCGTTGCTCCTAAAGCCAGAGAAAAAAGTTATTCACTGAGAAGCAAAGACCGGATGTAATTCCCCATATTGTTTTAATGTTGAGGGAGAATGATTTACACATAACGCCCAACAATAATGAATTGAACAGCGCTAATTCTTTCAACTCCATGTTTCCAATTGGGCACCTAAATGACTTGAAGGGAGTTTGAGAGATAAAAGTTTGTGTTCTGAATTGGGCTTGAACACAGGTTTGGAAGCAATAGTCAACACAGCAGTCATGGGAAATCCTCTACGTCAGAAGATTTTGTGTTGATTACCCAAATCCGGAATTGGGCCCTCTATATTCCAAGGCGACGTTCTAATGCAATACTGGTAGTATACCGCAATGTGGAGTACTGTTGCTTTGTAGTTCGAGACTCACTTGCAAGCGGGAGACCTGGGTTCGATTCCTGCCATGGCGAAATGTTGGGAAGAATCTGACTCTGTTATTTATTTACAGATTGGCCGTTCACTTATTTATGTTTGCAGGACCTTAGTGTGTCCAAATTGTCTTTCTCCCACCAATCACAAAATCACTTCGCTTTAAAGTGTTTCATGTGAAGTGCTTTGAGACGTTTCCTTCCGTGAAACGCGTTACACCAAATATAGGTATGAGTTCATTACTTAATGTTAGAAAGTATAAGGGAATTGTTCAGTGCACAGAGATGCGAAAGGTTATCCAGCTTTTAGTGCAAACAAAAACCACATTATGTGGATCGAATATTTATTAAAATCGGCTGAACATTGGCGAAAGCCATCGCCAAAGTAAACAGTGAACATCAAAGAACGTTTTTCAGGCGGGACTTGAAAAGGATACAGGGGTTTGGAGTGGGGGTTTGGAGGAACTCATGGTGGAAAGATGGATGGGAAGCGTTCCAGAATTTCTAGCGTTTAGTAAAAATAAAATATATTTTAGATTAACTTGATACGAACTCAATAAGCTTTAAGCCACGGTGGCGGTTGGGAGGGTTTGATTCACTGTCTGTCACTAACTGTACTGTACTGTTTCCCAGCTTTGGTTGTGATGAGGGTTATTGTACGAGGCTTCCTATGACGTGTATCACTGTGGTGCAGACTGAGTGCACAGTGATACATAGCGGAGTCTGTCAGCCGCAGGTCGGCGATGGTTAAAACGCTGATTTTCTTGGCAGTGTCAAGAGAAGCAGAAATACATCTCTGGTAGGGTTCCTCCCTCTACTGAGGATTTTTTTGGAGCAGGTATTTCAGCGTCTCGCCATGGGACTGACGGTACCAGTAGATGATGAAATCCTCTTCACTGAATAATATATATTTGCAATTCAATGAAACGGTCTCACCAGCAAAAGCCGCTTGTTGAGGCTGTGTCTGGCAAACTGCACTACTCGATCCTGTGGGGATTTAATTTCAAGTTACTTAGAATCATAGTATATTTAGCACACAAATAGGTTACTCGGCCACATTGCCTTTACCTTCTCTATGAAAGAGCTGTCCATCTAATCCCAATCCCTTTCTTAACCCCTAGCGTCGCAATGTATTTCTTCCAATTCCCGTTTGAGGTTTATGATACAATCTGTTTGCAGTACAATTTTAGGCACTGCATTGCAGATTGTAAAATCTTTGCAGGTAAATAAAATTCTCTTCATCTCCCCTCTTGTCTTTTACCAATTAAGTTCAACATGTGTCCACTGGAAACTGATTCACTGCATGTGGAAGCATTTTCCCCTGATCCACCCTATCAAATCTCTTTCACAATTTTGAACATTTGAATTAAATCTCCTCTAAACCTTCGGCTCTTCGGAGAACATTGCCAGACAATAGTCTCTTCACATAAATGAAGCCACTCTTCCCTGTAATCACTGTGGAAAAAACCATTTGGATCCTGTTCGAAGGCCTTGGCATCATTCGTAATTTGTACGTGAAATTCTTTTCACCAAATAAAAGGATTACTGTTGTAACAGTGAAATTAAGAATTCTGAATGGATTAAGTATACAGTGCTCTGCTCCTGCATATCCGCTCCAAATAAAATATTTAATGCAAGCACAGACAGTGTGACTATTCGTGCCACACAATTGACATGATCTCTCTTAAATGCACCATTTAATTTAGATTTGTTCCTCTAATCATATATTTGTTTGCTGAAGCTGATTATCCACATTGAGGCTTTGGGTGTCTGTGATCATGGGAATGTTTAGCAAAGAATCAGGTGTCAGATTGTACCGTTAACTCTGCGGGTTTACAGTTTAGGCAACTGGAGAGTTTCCTGCTGTAAATATCTTTACTTTAAGACCGCTGCTGGAGGAGGTTTTTTCTCTGGTTTGCTGCCAGTATCAGTTTCTCTCTCAGTCTGTGAGCAGCTCAATGCAGTTTCACTTGTGGAATAAAACATAAAGTGCTTTCTGTCTCCTTCTCCCTCTTTCTTTCTTTCTTTCTTTCTATCTATCTTTGTTTGTTTCTTTCTTTCTTTCATTCATTCATTCATTCATCATTCTTTCTTCTTTCTTTTTCTTTTTTTTCTTTCTTTCTTTTTCTTTCTTTCTTTTCTTTTCTTTTTTTTTTTTTTTTTTTTTTTTTTTCTTTTTCTTTTTTTTTTTTTTCTTTTCTTTTCTTTTTTTTTCTTTTTTTTTCTTTTCTTCTTTTTTCTTTTTTTCTTTTTTCTTCGCCAGTTGCTTTTGTTTCTTTAATTTCAATTAATTTCGATCGATTATTGATTCACTCACTTTTTGTTACAATTACTTTGGTTCCTGATCCGTCTTCGTTAAAGAACCACAGTCACACAACACTCATTCTCTGAGGCGCAAAAACTGTTCTGTCAGATCACTGTTTAACACTGTCACTAACGCAAACAAACACTGACAAATTGGCCATTAATCCTTACCGATTCACCAGTGGTTCCATCTTCGTACTATTCTTTTGTATAAAACATGTTTATTTTCAATATTATTTCCTCCCAAACAGAGACAAAGTGTACGGCACAAAGAACACCTCTCTACAAATAAATCCAGAAATGTCCGTTTGAAATAAGTAATTTTGAAAGCAAAGTGTCGACACATTCAGGAACATTAAATAGTATACGGTTGTCAGTGATCAAGTCTCATGTGTTTCCAAGAAAATAGTTGCGCAGTATTTGTGCTGATGGTTGCCAATGTGATCGTCCCAATCCCAACACAGTGTTTATTGTAAATCCAAAAACCAATGGTTTGAAATACTGTTGAAATGTGTCAGCCGTTCACAAATGGTCAATCAATGATACAACATTTAACAATCTTTTAAATATTGTGATAGTTGGACATTGATATGCCGCGTGTCTCGTGGAATAAATAATTAGTTATGTGAATCCTAGAAGATTTCCAATGTGCATACATACCGACATTCTTTTCCGACGTATCCATAAGTAATTGTTGTTTCCTAAAGAAGTGTTATTAAACATCATTGTGCATCAAACACAAATGATGACTGTGCTTTGAATTTATTGGAAGTTCACAGACTCTCTGTTTATCCTTTGAGTTAGTGACGGGGCTTCTTGTATTAAAGAAAGGCCAGATACAGCACTGTGGTATCCCAGTACCGAGCTGTACATTTATAGTCAGCGCTGTCTTGAACTTGCAAAGCATTAATTTCCAGTGAAGACGACATCGATTCCTTGTCTGTCTTTACAACAAAGCGTGCTACCAGAGGGATCCGTTTCCAATCTCGTTCGTTCGGA